ACTCATGAATTAAGGGCGTAGAAGCCTGAAGAGTCAAGGGCGTAGAAGCCTGAAGAGTCAGTGGTTTATGTCATCAAGTTGATTGACTCCAACAACTTTCCTGAATACGAATTCGCAACTTTCGACTTACAACAGGTACCTACTTTACTGCTAGGTGAACAGGGACTAATGGGGGCTAGGAAGTAAGTCAAACAACTTCCACCGGCCGGGAATCAGACCGTGACATCTCACTTGCGAGGCACCCCCATTATGCATTGCTGAGGTTTCAGTTCCTCCGGGAGCGAGACAAGGGCAGGCTGAGGTCAGCGTATGTACAGCAACAAGATATCTGACGCGTTTCACTCCCGAAGTCTGCTTCGCTCTCTCTCACTGGGTCAGTGAGAGGAGACTCCTATCACTTGTTAATCAGTGAGCACCTCACTTAGGTGTTCTCCTATAAATTTACCAAACACTTCCTTTAGCAGAGAAGGTACAATGTATTCTCAACTGAACTCAGTCCCTGTGATATATTTTCTACAATAAACAATATGGAATGGACAGGTGGAGCATCTGGTGAGTTATCGGGGTGTGTTGGTCACACTATATATACAGTATATATATATATACACTGTATATATGTGATGGACAGATGGAGCATCTGGTGAGTTATTGAGGTGTATTAGTCACACTATATATATATATATATATATATATATATATATATATATATATATATATATATATATATATATATATATATATATATATATATATATATATATATATATATATATATATATATATATATATATATATATATATATATATATATATATATATATATATATATATATATATATATATAACACACCCCAATTTCACCAGATGCTCCACCTGTCCATTCCATTTTTACTACTTAAAATATAGTCTTTTTATATTTAAATCATTTGTTCACTACAGGAATCTAGAATGAGCAAGAAATACGTTGGTGCTATCTTTACCAATTTTCTAAGTATCCTGAGGCTGCTGCAATTTTCCCAAAAGAGTGCTGTATGTGTGGCTGACTTCCTTTATAGAACCAAATGACGACTTGGATAGAGTGCTCGCCTCATTGGGTCGGTGGTTCGATCCCCAGGCACTCCCAGTTCACCCAGCTGTCAATAGATACCTAAGTTTACAACTTGTGGAGGTGAATGCGGTCAAGTGTAGTACCGGCCATGCTGCCTTCTTGTGTACTGAAGGCTTATACAATATGCTATATCCAAACTGTCCCTAGTGGGTAGTCACTTAGGGACCCACCTTCACTTTCAATAACACACATACCAGTTTACAGTTTCCAGAATGTACAAGATTGGTTCCTAGTATCACTAGTTATTTTGATTTTGTATGGTGCAACAATTATTTGATAAAGGTGTTCGTCACCGACTCCTATTTACACTAAGACGTGAATGATGCCGAGGTGTTCAACCTTTGAAAGACCAACGCACGCCATTGTATCGAGTATGTGTCTGTCAATTCAGTACTGATGTTCGTCATGCCATCACCGGGAATTGTAACCACCGTCCTCCGGCGTGGTTGTTTGTTATGATCACACGTAACGCTGGCGGACAGCGGAAAAGGTATAGGATAGTTTTAAGACAAACCTGAAAAGTGCCAATCGATCGACCCACTAGCGTAGCTAGGGGCGGGGGAAGTGGTTCGGCCCCGGGCGGCACTTTTGGGGGGCGGCACTTTTGGGTCTGCTCATCACCCATATCTGCAGCTACTGGAGACGTTAATCCATCCCTTTGTATCGGCGGCAAGTTAATCCTCTTTACTGCTTTTGTTGCAAACTGTTTTCAGACAGAAGTAACTCAAAATTTAATTCTGAGGATGGATTCAACATATGGTGGAAACTGAATCCTTGAATATCCGAGCACGAATCCAGTGCAGCTCACGTTCGGAATTTCACACAATGGAAGGAGTTGGAAATTAGGATTGCTCGTGGAGCAACAATTGATAAAAAAGAACAAGAAGTTGTTGAAAGCCAAGTGAAAAAGTGGAAGGAAATCCTTTCAAGATTGCTTGATATTATTAGATTCCTAGCTAAACAGAATTTGGCTTTACGAGGCCACCGAGAAGGAATGAATTATGAGAGAAACGAGACTGAAGCAACGGAAAATAGAGGAAATTTTTTTAGAGCTAGTTGATTTGTTGGCGAAATATGATCCAGTGCTACGTGAACATCATCTAAGAATCCAGCTGGGAAACAAGTTTGCTACTTCCTATCTGTCTCCTACTATTCAGAACGAGTTTATAGAAATTTTGGGAGAAAACGTAAGAAGCAAAGTCATCAAGCAAGTAAAAGAAGCAAAGTACTTTTCCATGATATTCGACAGCACTCCTGATATTTCACATAAGGATCAAACGAGCCAAGTTTTACGCTATGTTATGATCGATGGAGATAAAGTGAAGGTTGTGGAATCATTTGTCGATTTCATTGAAACAGAAGGTAAAACCGCCGAGAATATTTCAATGATGATTTTGGAAAAATTAGAGAAAGACGGAATTGATATTCAAAATTGTAGAGGGCAAGCATATGATAATGCTGCGGTGATGGCTGGTGTTCATACTGGTGTTCAGAAATGTATCAAGGAAATTAATAAAAAAGCAGAATTTATCGCTTGTACAAATCACTCGCTGAATTTGGCGGGTGTTCATGCAGCTTCTGTTGCTGTGAATTCTGTTACCTTTTTTGGATGTGTGGAACGTTTGTTTGTATTTTTTTCTTCATCAACCCATCGCTGGGATGTTCTAACTTCAGTCACTGGTCAAAGTGTCAAGCGCATAATAGAAACTCGGTGGAGTGCGAGGGGAGAAGCTGTAAGTGTTGTAAAGAAACATTTCTCAAAAATCTTAAGTGCCCTAGAAAAGTTAACTGGTGAAGAAGAAAATACAGCTACCAGGGCAGATGCTGGTGTTCTACTTGGTGCGTTGCAATCATTTTCCTTTTGTGCTTTCTTGGCCTGTTGGGACCCGTCCTTCTAGAAATTAACGACACACAGACTTACCTCCAAACCAAGGGCTTGAACATACAACAATGTGATATAAAACTCAGGGCATTAGAAACATTTCTAGTTGAAAACAGGGACAAGCTAGTGAGTAATGGAGTTAACTATGCCAAAGAAATTTGCAATGATCTGGGGATAGTCATGGAGCGTCAGCGTCGACCCAAAAAGAAGAAACAAATGTTTGGTGAAGGATCACGAGATGCTGAATTGCCATACGACATTGAATTGAGGAGAGAAATGTTTTCTTCGCTGGACAGAGTGATCCAAGAAACAACTTTGAGATTTCAACAGCTTCATGAACTTGCTGAGAAATATGCCTTCCTTACCCTATTGAATCTTTTGGATGATAAATATGAGTGTCAAATAGATCACGATCACGACGACATTGATAAAGAGGAGTTCCTCGTTGAGAGAAAAAGACTTCAGCATTTTGTTGCTGTTGCTGCTATAACTATTAAAGACAGAATACAGACGTGGAAAGAAGGCCCCCTTGAACTTTTGCAGTTTATTCAAAAGTATAACCTTGGGAACTCGGTTCCAAATATAGTAATAATGCTGAGGATTTTCCTCACAATTGCTGTTAGTGTTGCTACCTGTGAGAGGAGTTTTTCGAAACTAAAACTGATCAAGAATTACTTAAGATCTACTTTGAGCACCTTGCGGTTGAGAAATCTTGCCATACTGTCTATAGAGCGACAATTGACAGATGAAATAGTTTTTGACAATGTCATTGAAGAATTTGCCAACAAAAAAACAAGAAAAGTTACTTTGTAGAAAGTTGTAGTTTTCATTTCAGAAATAAAGATGGTCCTAATTTTTTACACTTTTTTTACTTTTTTCCCTATCCTATATGTCGTTTTTGCTTTTTGTTTAACTGTTACTTATAAAGTTTAAGTATGTTTGGTGTGTATTTAAAGCATACTATATTTGAGTATGTGAAAGTACAGTAATATTATAATGGTACACAAACTATTTAATATATATATATATATATATATATATATATATATATATATATATATATATATATATATATATATATATATATATATATATATATATATATATATATATATATATATATATAAAAGAGTGAGTCACTGTGCAATATGTATTTTTAAAGGGGGTAAGTGGCAACTGGGCGATGTCCCTGGCGGCACACACTTAGCTACGCCACTCGACCCTCACCTGGGAGACGATCCTCCACACCGTAACGCTTGGAGGAGCCCCCACACGAGAAGGTGTCAATAGTTTTGAATTAGCCCGACTGCATACAGAGACAAATAAGCGCCAGCGCCGAAAAGACGCTGCCGCCCTCCTGCACTAGATGCAGCCCTCCACATGCAACAGCTGTGGACGACACTGCCGATCCTGTATTGGCCTCTCGAGTCACCCCAGGGGTCACTAACGAAAGTAACATTCTTGATAACGCATATTATTGTGTCATAGCTGGATGATCGTCATACTCGATTCCGAGTGACATCAAAGTAGTAGTAGTGATCACACCAGGTGGTCGTACTGCCCAATTGCACATATTTATTGTTCGTCTCAGAGTAAGAATCTCATTCAACATTACTTCAGTATTTTTTTTCTCAGCTACATAGCATCTCTTGCAAACACAAGTTATGTTAGCTCTTGTTTCATTTTAATAACAAAGGTAAAGCTCCTTGCCTCCTGGGCTAATGATTTGGTAGCAGGTATTAATATTGACTACACCTTTTTATACCCACGCTCACCAGCAGCCCAGTAACAAACTCTTCTCTTCTAGGACACAACAGGAGAATCATTTCATGTTTCAATTTATGGTGAAGTTCTCGTGTACTGTCCTCAGTGTCAGGTTAGTGGTAGTCCATTCCCTTGGGGGAAATTACCTGTCTAGGTCGTATGTACTGCACAAGGAAGATTCCCAAGTAACTTACCTGCCCTGACTGACCTTAATGAGATTTCCTCATCAAACAGTGAATGGTTTACCTCGCTTGAGCACAGAGGAGATACAGTCGACCATGAGGCCTGGGAGAGGAGTGACCAGGGCACACAGCAAGTTAGCGTAGCCGAACAGTCGAGAGTAGAAACCCGCTATAGCAAAAATAGTGTCTTAATAAAGTGTAGCTAACTCCTGTGCATAATATTTCAGTATTTAATATCTCCATTTGTAAAACTTACACTATTCTGAATTACATAACCTGTAAGAAGTAACAAGTCTTAATGTTCTCTGAAAGCAAACTGTACTCTCCTCTTGCCTAATATTGATCATTTTCGCGGCTATAGCCTATTATAATATCAAACTCCTGGTGTTTCAATACAAACTTTACACTGCTTACCTTCTTCTTCAGTTTTCGAGAACTTGTTGATCCAGGAGTTGAAGTAAGTACCGAAGAGAACGACTGCGAAAAGGTTGTTGAACAGCCAGAAAAGATACAAAAATGAGGACACGGAAATTATACTGCTGCTGAGGGGTCCTCCTGGCTTCTCGTCTCTCTTCTTTTCAGTATTTTCTGTTTCTGTTGTCTCTGAGGATTAAGACAAGTCAGAGGGAAGGAGAAAGACTGTTTGAATAGCTTTTTTAAAAAGTTTCATGCTTATTACATAACGACCAGTTTTAAGTATAAGTAATTTATTTTAATAATAATTGTAAACCCAAGTATACTGTGAAAATAAGCTCACTATCTTTGTTTTCAGTTGCAAGTGAAGGAAGGAGTTTATGGTCTCTGATTTATATAAGGTTGACGAGCTCATGACAGGTATACAGCGATTAACACAGACTTTAACAGCGAACAATTGAAAGATTCACATTGAAATTTTTTATAAGAGAGTCAGTGAGGAACGACCAGTGACTATGAGCGCTTAAACATATGTTTAGAAAGAGGATCACCAGCCAGGTGGTCTCGAACGTGTCTCAGAAAACTCAAACATGGAGCCAATTAATGCGAACCACATCAACCATGAACAACAATGGCACCCCACATTCATTAAGTACCCGCGTTCATGGAATAATTCGCAATGCTCACCGAGTCTTGTCACAGCAGAGGTGCTTCACAGATTGACACTTGTCCATTATAAACTCTTCAATAATTTCACAAAGGTATTACTTCCCAAGAAAAGATTATAGTATACCTGAACGGTTCACTTCAGTCCTCAGCAATGTGTAAGAGTACCAGGGGTGAGCCCAGGTCCAAAGAGTGAGCACCGCAATTACCACCACTGAGCTCAGAACTCGCACAATTTACAAATTCCTATGGAAACTAAATTTCGTTTCTGAAGACTGGGTCATCTTTAGGACCATTAACCCATGGAAAGGCTTAACTAATTGAAATATGGGAGCTGCAAAGCCCTGGATATTTGACCCTTTCCTCTGGGGAAGGAGATCGCATAGTTATCTTGGGACAATGCCACAATTGAAGAACCAATCGGACCAGTTAAGTATCCCACTGAAGACTAGCTTCTGATATTCTGACTGGGAGAAACCGTGGATTTCTCCAAAGCCTTTCAAGAGCTTCTCTAGCCAGGATCGCTGTTGATATTTAGGAGTCACAATTTATCAATCTCTGTCGGAGAAGGAGCCTTGGTGAAGATTCTCTGGGTTACTTTTAACCCGAAAAGAATTACCTAAACTGTTTGGAACTTAAGAAAACTCAATTGGTCAAAAAATATATCTAGGCATCCTTCTGGTCACTACAGGGCAACCAGAGAGCTGATTCAGTTAAATAATAATCATTCTGAGTTGACTGCCACCTGATCAATCAATTACATTACAATACAACATCCAGCCAAAAATCCATAAATGTTTCAATCTGGTTTGATACGACCATCATTTGTGTCATTTACAGCAACCGAAACCCCCTCAAACCCAAAGCAGAAGTGACTCCTTTTAATTTTTTCCCTCAACCAGGTCATACAACAGAACAGCTACAGTAGATGACATGGTTGTTCTACCTCCTAAATACGTACTAAGTGAGTCGAGTGGTTAACACTATGGCCCGAACTCAGAATGCTGGTTTGAAACAGCATGAAGGTTTAAACTAAGGATCAAGCGAAGATTGAAGATTGTTGTTATTCAGAATGCTGGCTTGAGCCAACAAACAGATCAAACCGGGTTTGAGATTGGATTTGCCGATTCTCGCGTTAATCCAGCTTATAGGCAGGTTTAGCTGTCGATCCGTCATTCAAGATAGCAAGTCAACATGAATTTTGACAGAGAGCGTGTTTTCCAGACAACGATATAGGTTCAGCAAGGGAGATTTCCTTGATATTTTCCGTGATATGGAGCATTACTGGACAGATCTGTTGGCTATGGTTCACCTCTACCTCCCATTCATCAGCTGATGATTGCTTTGGGATTCTTAGCAACGAATAGTTTCCAGGTAAGAAAGATTCTGGTTACTGATTGAGTTATGGAAATGTGTTCAAACACTTTCGTGTTTAGGGTCCATGAAGATCAAGCGGGTAAAAGTAAAGAACGCTGACGTTTCTTTATTTTGAGTGTTTTTCTTTACGAAAAAATATTTTGATGTATTTTAAATATAACTGAATCAATCCTGAGTGAATTTTGATTTTAATGTATTAATAAAGGAAAGTCTTTTCTTAACATTACTAATCAGGGGAAATTTGGGTTTTAAAGAACAGAAAGAAACCCAACTTAACCGAACCGAACCTCCCCAGGTTACTACACCCTGTACTGATTCGTCTCGCTTTGGTTATGAATATTGACACCTGTCCCAGAATATATCTACAGCACTAGCGTAGCTAGGGGGGGGCGGTCCGCCCCGGGCGGCACTTTTGGGGGGCGGCACTTTTGGGTCTGCTCATCACCCATATCTGCAGCTACTGGAGACGTTAATCCATCCCTTTGTATCGGCGGCAAGTTAATCCTTGTCGTGTCTGACCTAACACCTGACCCACATCATCACGGCCACGTCATGAGCTACACACCCTTGCTATGCGCCCCCCCCCCACACACACAACCTGTAACCTGTTGAGGATTAAGGAAACAACTTCAAACAAGTACGCCAGTGAGCTCATGTGGTGTGGGTCAGGTGTTAGGTCAGACACGACGAGGATTAACTTGCCGCCGATACAAAGGGAAGGATTAACGTCTCCAGTAGCTGCAAAACCATGCAGTCTCGGGTCATATCAGTTCATGTACAGCCGACCAATCCACCAGTTACAAGCAATTCACTTCAGTTCTGCACAAGTCTCCATCGTGACAAGACGAGTGAGTCACTGTGCAATATGTATTTTTTGTGGGGGCAGGGGGCAAACTCAAGGGCCGCCCCGGGCGGCACACACTCTAGCTACGCCACTGATTCTACAGTTTGTATGTAATTGTTCTTCCTCGATGAATTTCTTTGTTATATAACAGCACAGCCACATTGTAAAACAGTAACATAAATCATTATAATTTGATCTTAATTTGATTGTAATTATAATAACAAAAGTAACTTATGATGTGCAAGAAGAGATTTTTCCTCCTCCGTAAAAAGTCGTCCAGTCATATTTGCCCCCATAGCCTTGTAAACATTACTCTCGATGGTGATTGGCTGTCGTAATGGTGTAAATGAAACGTGATTGGCTGGAATTTCAGGTTTAGAATCCTTGCTTGGAAAGGACGAGTTGTATGTTCTAAGTAAACACAAGAAATATGTTCTGCCACGTTCGTAGAGTGATACGGTATATATAATTTGTAATACAAGTTTAAAGTCCTGCTATAATAGTCGAGATAAATTTATTTCTCTAGAAAAAAGGCCGCCATTTGCAATGACGTCACCACCTACCCCGCAGATGACGTTCTCCAACAAACTCACCACTCACCACTCACCAGTCACCACTGCAGTCGGAGGCAGGCCGTATTCAAGAACAGTCATGGAGTGTACGACGCCATTTACGATGACCTTCTTGACCTGATCTTGTTTCAGGAATACCACCCTTTCGAAGCTCTGGAGAGATCTCGAAGCTTTGATATTTTGAATACAGTGCTAACTCATAATTCCCACCAGGAAACTTGCTTCGAGACTCCTCCAAAGCTTCGAAAAATGCAGAGTTCCATGTGTTAAAGACGATATTGCTGAAAAAAGATCGGGGCAAGAAGGTCATTGTAAATGACGTCGTACACCCCATAACTGTTCTTGAAAGAAGCCCGGTTAACCCTCGTAACAAGGAGAAATATTAAGCTTATTTCTTTTTTTATCAAAAGAGTCGTACAGACACATCGTTTCTCGAGAGGTTGTCAACTGGAATGAGGAACTGCAATTACCAACCTGGTATATGAAATTGTTAAATGTGACACAACCTGGCCGTTGGAAAGATTGAACTACAGGGCTTCACGACTCATCTCACTTTTAATCAACCATTCTTAGCACCAGCTATCACCTAAGCTTAAAAGGTTACTGGATAAAATCCGAAAAGCCCGGGTGGGCATATTAAAGGGTCGCTTTCAACTGGCACCATGTTATGATAAAAATGTCAGTGTAGAGAAGAGGGGGTTGATTGAAGGTTTACATAGAGAGAAGATAGCTAAAATATAAATAAGAAAATACAAAATGGGGAAGACTGTACCTGATACGTCACCATAAGGGACGTGGTGACGAGGAAACAACGGTGTGAAGAGGATGATGAGGAAGGTGACGGCGGAGCATCCCATACACACGTCCTCCCACTTCAATCCCTTTTCAAACATCGACTGAAAACGCAATACACTTTTCAGTCATGAAGATTCACTAGTAGAATAAAAGAATTCTCTGGAATCTATTATGAATTAATGAGGACGACGCTCTCTGTATACTCTTGGCAGTGGAGGATTCGCTCCATTAAAATTTCAGCTCGAAATAACACTATGTAAATACTGTTCTTCAAGATTATCTGGAACATTCAGTTAAATATCCGGATCAACACTAACTGCTCACTTAACTCATTTCTACCCACCTTATTTACACAAGCTTACTTATTTTACAATTATAATAGTAACAAAGAGCACCTGGTACGATGGCTTTTTTATGATGTTTTCATAAAAAAGTCCTTCGTGGATATTAAGCGTGAGAGGGTTTTGGATATCAGTGGATAGGCGCTACTTTCCGCATCCTTGACATACGTTTAGATCCGATTTCAGAACGGTGGTTTGAGCCTGCGACATGAGCTCGGCTCAGGTGTGTGAATCGGGATTCCTCGATCCGAGATTTCCTGCAGTGGATTACCCATATTCAGAACATCGGCTCGAACCCCGGATCGGGTAATCTGTTGCATTTTCTTCAATTCTGAGCAAAATTCCGAACACTAAAATTCCAGCCAATCACATATCATTTACACAATTACGATAGCCAATCATAATCAAAAGTAATGTTTACAAGATTATGGTGGGAACTATGACTCGACGAGTTTTTACAGAGGAGAAATCTCTCCTTGCACATCACAAGTTACTTTTATTACTACAGTTCCAATCAAATTAAGATCAAATTATAATGGTTTATGGTATTGTGTTCCAATGTGGATGTGTTGTTATATAATAAAGAAATTCATAGAGGAAAACAATTACATACAAATTGTAGATATAGTCTAGGATAGGTGTCAATATTCATAACCAAAGCAAGATGAATCAATGCAGGGCGTAGTAACCTGGCTAGATTAGGCTAGGTTAGGATCAGTTTGGTTAGGTTAGGTTTCTTTCTGTTCTTTTAACCCCACATTTCCCCTGATTAGTAATGTTCAGAAAAGGCTTTCCTTTATGAATGGATTGAAATCAAAATGCACTCAGCATTAATTCAATTATATTGAAAATACATCAAAATAGTTTTCGTAAAGAAAAAGCGCCAGCGCTCTTTACTTTTACCCGCTTGATCTTCATGGACCCTAAGCACAAAAGTGTTGTAACACATTATCAAAACTCTTTCAGTTAGTAGAATATCTCTTACTGGAAACTATTCTTAACAAAGAATCTCAAAGCAATCATCAGCTGATGAATGGGAAGTAGAGGTGAATCATATCCAATTGGTCTGTCAAATAGATGCTCCATATCATGGAAAATATCAAGGAAATCTTCCAATTTAACGATATCGCCAAAAAGTGCGCTCTGTTAAAATTCGTGTTGACTTGTTATCTTGAATGACGGATCGACCGTTGAACCTGCCTCCAGGCTGGATTAACCCAAGGATCGACAAATCCAATCTAATACCCAGTTTGATCTTTGTGTTGGCTCAAGCCAGCATTCTGAATACCAACACTCTTCAATCTTTGCTCGATCTTTGGTTTAAACCTTCATGGGGTTTCAAACCAGCATTCTGAATTCGAACCTTAGGTTCAGATAATCAACAACTAATTTGGGAAGGAACGAGATCAACTCGGCTGTAGAAAACATACAACTGTATTGATGATTTCAGCGGGCTCAGGGATGATTTTGGCAGGCTCAGAAATAATTTTGGTGGGCTCAGGAATGATTTTCGAGGGCTCAGGGATGATATTATTGGGTTCATGAATGATTTTCGTGGGCTAATGGATGGTACTTTTCCACCGCGATGTGCAATCAGGCTAACTCGAAAGTATTGATCGTTTCCCAAAAGAAGGAGTCGATTTGGCACTTTCCTGGTTCGTCTTAAGACTATCCTTTTACCTTTTCTATTGCTCGCCAGCGTTTGAATGGGTAAGAATTCAGACAGGGTGCCATTATGCAGGACACTGTCGCTCATGTCATCATGGAGTTGCTTCACAATGGCGATGAATTTTGGTGAACAACCAAAACGACTGTGCAGGGAAAGGTAGTGCCCTTTCCAGCACTGATGGATGCATTGTTCGTCTTTAATTAGGGAGTTACCTTCGGATGAACATAAGAACACAAGAATACACGAATGGAGGAAAATGCAGTGGGCCTATTATTATTAAGCAGCCCCATTTATCCAGCGTGTTCGAGTTAATGATGAAGTTTAGTAACTTGTCCACTCATACATTACTTCATTTACAAACTAATGTTTACCTCTTTCACACCTAAATCTAAATTTGTATAATTTAAAACCCTTGCTACGAGTTTGTTCGTGGTTGGATAGTTTGAGTACCATTGTTATATGAACTTTGTTTAACCCCGATTTCCATTTATACACCTCGATCATATCGCCCCTCACTCTACGTCTCTCGAGGAAGTGCAAATTAAGATGCTTTATTCTGTCTCTGTACTCAAAGTTCCTCATGCGTGGGATTAGTCTTGTCATTCTCCTCTGAATGCTTTCTAGTGATTCAATATCCATTCTATAGTATGGTGACCAGAACTGAACTGCATAATCCAAGTGAGGTCTCACAAGCGCAAGATACAGTTTTAGGATGACCTCGCTAGTCTTGTAACTATCACTCCTTTGTATGATCCTATGATCTTTGTTAGCTTTGTTTTAAGCAAATGCACATTGTTGTCTTGGTTTAAGATTCCTACTTATCATTACTCCTAAATCTTTTCACAGTCAGATTTCTCTATAACAACGTTGTTCATATGATATCTGATTTCTCTGTTTACATGTCTTAGATTAAGCACTTTGCATTTGTCCTCATTAAATTTCATCTGCCATTTATCAGACGATGCGAAATTTTTTTTTAGGTCTTCCAGTGATTTTGTGGAGTCGTCCTCAGATTTAATTACGCTTCCTATTTTAGTCTCGTCAGCAAATTTACAGTACTTATGCTGCTGTCTACGCCTATATCTATGTCTTTTTTGTATGTAATAAATAGTAATGGTCCAAGCACTGAGCCTCAGGGTACTCCATTAGTGACGTTGTGATAGTTGTTATTTGGTATACACCTTAATTGTTTTAAATAAGTTCTGGAACTCTTAAGTGCCAGGGCTGATGTAAACACTTCTTCTGGGCTTTCATTTATTTTTGAAGCGCCTATGTAAACGCTTCTGGGCTTCACCTTGCACAAGGCTGTAGGGGAGTGCCCCATAAATAATAATAAAAAAAAAATGCCAGGGGTGGAACTGATATTTAGGGAAAATGAAGAAGAGAAATTAAAGAATAATACCCTCAGATGAGAGGATGTTCTTAAGAAGATAAATAAATTAAAGAAGACAAAATCTCCAGGGCCTGATAAAATTTTCCCTCGAGTTTTGAAAGAGTGTAAGGAACAAATTCGTGGACCCCTTGTAAATTTATTTACAAAATCATTAGCCAAACTTGTGGAAGCAGGCAAATGTAGTACCCATATTAAAAAAGGGAGACAGAGCATCAGCGTCAAATTACCAGCCGATTAGTTTGACGTCAGTAGTGAGGAAATTTCTTGAATCAATTATAGCAAATAGCCTCTGATCGCACTTAGAGAGAAAAAGAAATAGTCTCCGACTCTCAACATGGGTTTACAAAGGGAAAATCTTATTTAACAAATCTGCTGAATTTTTTTTCGGAAAGTCTTCGAGGTAGTAGATAATGACGAAAATTACTATGTTATTTACTTAGACTTTAGCAAAGCGTTTGACAGAATACAGCATCAGAAGCTTCTGAGAAAAGTTAAGGCTCATGGTATCGAGGGGAAAGTTTTAAATTGGATAAAATCATGGCTCACCGATAGAACACAAAGGGTCAGCATAGATGGTGTTAAATCTGAGTGGGGCTGTGTAACCAGTGGGGTTCCCCAGGGGCTAGTACTGGGCTCACTCTCTTTCATAATCAACATGAACGATCTAAATACTGGGATCAACAGTGACCTAAGGAAGTTTGCGGATGACACCAAAATAGGGCGGCAAATTAATTCAGGGCAGGATGCAAATGCACTACAGGAGGATTTCAATAAACTGTAGGAGTTGTCAGAAAAATGGCATGTGAAATTCAACACCAGCAAGTGGAGCGTACTTAATATTGGAAGAACAAATACTGTCAATGTATATAGCCTAAACAACATCAACCTAGAGAAGTCGACTTGTGAAAGAGACTTAGGGGTACTTGTAAGCCCGAACCTACGGCCTAGAAAACAGTGCATTAATGCTCGAAATAAGGCAAACAGAGTATTAGGTTTTATATCTAGAAGTTTAAGTAACAAGAGTGCAGAGGTCATATTGCAACTATATCTTGCGCTAGTCAGGCCGCACCTCGATTATGCTGTTCAGTTCTGGTGCCATTATTATAAAATGGATATCAATTCACTGGAGTCTGTGCAGCGAAGAATGACGAAAATGATTCCGGGACTTAGAAACCTTCTATATCAAGATAGAGTTTTAGGTAGTAGGTATTAGGCAACTACCAAACAGGGAGGTACTACCGGCTGGGAAGATATTGGAAGCATAATGTGTTGTCTATGGTAGACCCTGCTGCTATATGGCATCACAAAAATTGTGACCAAGTCCCAGGTTGCTGATCTGACTTTCTGCCTCATCTATACACTATTGCAGGGTCTCAATTGTTTCACTTACTATTGACAACACAACATACATATAATATTTTTCACTTTTGATCGTTTTTCATTTTTGTATTTCTTTATGGTTTATTATTATTATTATTATTATTATTATTATTATTATTATTATTATTATTATTATTATTATTATTATTATTATTATTATTATTATTATTATTATTATTATTATTATAATTATTACATTTTCGACCCCCAGGCACTGATGTGGGTCAGTGACCAGTGCCCGGGTGGGCTAATCCCCGTCCCAAAAAAAATAAATAAATAAATAAAGAAACTAAACTTGCATTCCCTAGAAAGACGAAGAGTGAGGGGAGATATGATAGAAGTATTTAAGTGGGTAAAAGGAATCAATGAAGGAGATATAGATAAAGTTCTTATAATATCTGAGCAGGATAGGACTTGTAGCAACAGATTAAAAGTTGGATAAGTTTAGGTTTAGGAGCGAGATAGGAAGGAACTGGTTCACAAATAGGGTGGTAGACGAATGGAACAAGCTTAACCACCTTGTAGTAAGTGCTGGAACGCTGGAAAGTTTTAAAAGGAGGCTAGATAGATTCATGGCTGATAGAGAGTGGTAGTAACTCTCGACAGGAGCTACCATGCACAGGCCAACCGGCCTATTGCAGGCTCCTTATTTTCTTGTGTTCTAATGTGTTTAAACTCTTCCGCCAGCCATGACCATACGTGTTAAGCCATGGAGGTGTAGGAGAGCGACCTGCACGTGCGACCAGTACGGCCAGTGTTCCAGAAGAAGACCTCGCTAGAGGAAAGGTCACAGCAGACTTAGCTCCTGGGGATAAATTGTCGGTAATGGCTAGTGCTACTTGTGAGCAGGGCAGTGCCTTTCTTAAGTTAGAGAAGGTCAAAGAAGAAAACTTGAAATTAAAGGAAGTGATAGCGAGGATGAAGGAAGAAGATACGAGACAGGAAAGTTGTGTCTGACGAAAACTCAGGCGAATGGAAGGTTGTGAGGAGAAAACGACCAAAATGGTAGTGGAAAAAGACACCAAGGAAACGACAACAGCTAAGTGTAAAAACTCTTAAAGTCCTTTGATAGACGAATTGAGCATTAGCATAGTCAGGGACAGGGCTGAGAGGGAAGGTAAAAAAACCTTAATTGTTGGCGATTCTCAGGTACGGTACCTGGATAGAGCTTTTTGTGATAGAAATAAAAATAGGATGAGGGTGTGTTTACCAGGAGCTGGGGTGGGGGATATAGTTGATAGGATGGACAATATCTTGTCTGATAATGGGAACAAACCCATAATCTGCCTTAGTGAAGGAGGCAATGATATTGGCCGGTGTAGGAGTGAGGAGCTTCTTGATAAGGTCGAAGGGAGGGATCCCTATCATATGTGGTGTCCTGCCTAGAAGGAAAGTTTGCAATGAATGGTTGTCAAGGGCAGTTGGTGTCAACGTCAGTTGGTGTCTACGGCCGTCTTGACAGATATTGCAAGTCAATATCAGTCTCATTCAATGACAGCTGGGACAAATTTTACGGCAGAAGGGACCTTTATGCTAGGGATGGGGTACATCTCTCTGGGGATGGGGTGGCAACCCTGGCTGGCTCTCTCGAGAGGGCAGTTTAAAAGATGTCGAAGTCTTTAAAGTGCCATAGGAACATTTTGGCACGGAGGTGGAGGAGACTGCAGTTGGTGCGGGTAAACAGAGTGAAAGGTTACAGGGAAATAGTGCTTGGGATGATGACAAAACTAAATTAGGCAGGGAGTTAAAACCTAAACGCGTCAAAGAGAGGACTCAGAACACGACTAACATAAATGTCTACTTCGCAAACAGTAGGAGCATGAGAAACAAAATGGATGAAATTAGGACGTTGGTATGTAACAAAAAAATCGATATAATAGCATTCACGGAAACATGGATTTATACTCACGAGAGTTACCTGTCGAATACCAAATTGCAGGTTACAAATTATTCCATACCGATAGGCAGATTAGGAAAGGAAGCAGAGTAGCAAGCTATGTCAGAGATAATCTAAAGTGTCAAATAAATAAGGAAATAAAAACTGAGCTGAATATAGAAACAAATTGGATAGAATTAATCGATGGTAGAGAAAAATTAATTGCAGGAGTAATATTTAGACCTCCTAATCTTGATAGAGTTAATGAACGACTTATTTGGGATGATATGCGCAGGGCTTCCAGGCATAGCAAAGTTTGTATAGTAGGCGACTTTAACTTTAGCCAAATAGATTGGAACGACCTTACAGGTAACTTAGAATCAGAGGATTTTCTTGAAGCAGTTTAGGACTGTTTCCTAAGTCAATATATGACCAAACCCACCTGGGGTAATAATATACTCGATATAGTTCTGTCAAACAGAGAAAACTTCATTAGTAATGTCGAGGTAGGGAACGAACTTGCCACCAGCGATCACAAAGAAATAAGATGTCAATTAGAATTTAAGGAAGACGCAAGGAAAATTCCAATAAAGTCCCAGATTTCAGAAGGGCAAACTTTGGTAGGTTGAAAAGGCAGCTGAGAGAAGGGGTATCACGTTTGGGGGTGGATTACATGACCTCACGTGAGGTGACCTCACACAATGTACCCATAGAAGGCGAGCTCGCTTTATATGGAGCCCTGACAACGATATCATCACAAAATATGACGGTTGAGGATGATCTGATTACGAGATCTGAGATTGACGAGTTCCACAACAATTTAAATAATGAGTTACTTAATGCACAAAGGCAGAACATGCCATACAGAAAACTTAGATCAGACAACAAAGACCCTAAATGGATAAACAATTATTTAAAGAATATTATTGGGTAAAGGAAGGCTATAGGTAGAAATAAATCGTGGTGAAGTTTACCTCCGAGATTATTATAAGGTATTGTCCAGTAGGGTTAAGACCAAGATAAGAAAAGCAAAGAGGAATAATGAACTGAAGGTAGCAAGGGAGGAGAAGTCAAACCCCAAGGGATTCTTTCAAATGTATCAAACTGAAATACCTGAAAAGATTGGATCAATACAGTCAGATACAGGCGAGCTAACTGATAGCCACGGAGAAATGAGCAATAATCTGAATAAATATTTTTCAACAGTTTTCACCACCGAAAATTTGAACATGATACCCGAGGCACCGACCATATACAGAGATAGTGAAGAAAATAGATTAAGCGAGACAGTAGTGACTGGTAACGACGTTAGTAAACAAATAGACAAGTTAAAGCCTAATAAGTCGCCAGGTCTCAGGTCCCACCACCAATACAGTGCAAAGATTGACGATCAACCCACAACTGATATACAAAAGTGACAATTTGAACTTGAAAGAAAGAAACAACTGTTAGAGTGACAACCAGTGCGCAGCTGTCACGGGTGACCTGATTCGGACCTCACACACCCAGGGTCCACCACAACTGCCAACACTGGATGAGAAGCCAAGAAAGACTCCAAACTACATCAGGAGAGAAATGAGGATTCCCTACTCTGCCCAGATGAGGAATTATGAATTCCCAACTCCATCACATGAGGAGCAAGAACCATCTCCAACACCCTGTGTGAGCTGAAGGACATACCCGGAACACGTGGTGGATGTGCTAAACATCTGCAGCTGTAGTGAGGGAGTGGCCCTTAGCACCTAGGTACGATGGCCATCCGAACCGTGGGAAGGACTCTGTTGGCGCCATCATCTGGTCACAAGACTGTTTACAAGATCATCTCCCGCAGTACCAGATTCTAGAGTTAATGTTGTACAGTATATGTTGACTCTATGTTTCTTATTTCTTTGTACTGAAAGCTTTTGTCAATCAAGTGACCCACTCCTCAATTTCACTATACGTAACTTATTATCTCTGTTTATTTTATATTTTAAGCCTTATGGCTGACATGTTATCTCAATAAACTGTTAATTATTATTATTATTATTATTATTATTATTATTATTATTATTATTATTATTATTATTATTATTATTATTATTACACTCACTCACCTGAAGCACCATAAAGAGCCCAGCAGAGGGGGTGAAGATGCCGCTGATGATGGCCATGGCAGTGTTGCGGCGTTGAGGGAAGAGATTACCCAGTTGGAGTCCTGCCATCCTGATGGTGTTGCCGCCCACTGAGAGCAGGATGGATGCCCCCCACAGGTAGTCTGGTGACGCTGTGGAGAAGAACGTGTCCTTGTAAGTCGGTGTATTTGTGACATTTTCTTTACAGGTAGACTCCTGCATTTACTGTACGCATTGTACATTATACAGTATACACCTGTACTGTATGTGCTATACATTATATACCAACACTGTTCATGTATATTGTATACCTACACTGTTTATTTACTTTATATACAGTAATTTTTAAGTAAAATGCACAATTGCACTGTATATTTACACTGTGTACCTACACTGTCTATATAACAGACGTGAACACAAACTCATTCCTCTCTTCCACTGTTCCCCGAGCCCCGATTTCAGATTTGTGAATCCGAAGCATTTATGGACAGAATAATACAGCAGTATTTATTTTTTCTGGTTCACGAGTTTGAATCTCAGGGCTTGTGGAGCAACAGAAGCTGCATAAGAGGCGACAGGACTTCTATTTGTGACTGTACACTGTACACCAGCACTATCTATGTACAGTTCTATTCAGAAGTTCTTTATACACCCGTGGTGGAGGGCGCATAGCCTATTGCACCCTTTATGGACGTCAGGTAACTATGCCAACCATCCCACTAATACAGAATGGAACTGACTACGGAACAGCTTGATTCGAACGAAGACTCATCAAAAAGAGATGGGGAGAATATTAATATGAATATCGGCCAACGTTAGTGCTGATGGATGATGAAGATGAGTTACAAGAAGAAGAAAGCCATAGTGATAGGAGTATCTTCCAATATAAGATAAAGGGCAGTTGGTCAAACCCTGCACAGTGGTAAGGTCGTGGTAGTTGGGGACAGCCAGGTGAGACTCTTAAATATAACTTTTTGTGAAAGAGATAGGAACGTAGGATTAGGGATTGTTTTCCTGGGGCTGGGATAGGGCATGTAGCTGAGAGGATTGATAGGGTTTTGTCACGGGAGGGTCCCAAGCAAGTAGTGTGTCTAAGTGTAGGAGATTCAGATTCAGATTTGCCCCCGAGGGGGCTAGTTTATTGGGCACCCCCTTACATCCTGTGCAAGGTGAAGCGCAGAAGCGTTTACAGCGCCCAACAGGGAAGTATGAAAAGTTCATACTTGCCTTTATGACTCGTACATTAAGGGCGTAAAAGCCTGAAGGGTCATAGGTTTTGTCAAGTTACATAAAGTGAGAGAATGATGAGTGTGTGGGGAGAAAGTTCCCGGTACATTTTATCCGTTTATGGCAAAGAGTGGCAGGTCCCTAATAATGTCAAATGCCAGGCCTGTGACTAGGAGGAGGGATATCTGGTCTGGGAGGGAAGAGGTGTTGGTAACGGCTGGGGACCTATAGGAGGAGGTCATAGGGCAAGTGAGGATGTAGTGAGAGAGGGTGTGAGAGTCGGGTTGGCCACAAAGTTTACAAACAGTGCGGTGAGGCTCAGGGTTGCCAATGTACTCCCATAGGTACCTGTACCCTAGGCGCAGTCTCATGTATATAAGCTGTTGAGATCGAGTCAGGGATTGATATTCTTTGTTGTGGCGGTTGTCGTCACCGGTTACAGCGTCATAGTGGCATAGTGTGACGCTACCCCGTTGTTTCAGGTGTGTCCAATTTTCGTTGAATGCCTCTCGTTGTGTGGCGTGTATGCGAGATTTGAGATGATTCAGGGAGAGGGCGAGAGTGGCTTCAGTATCTTCTTCTTGTGTAGCTTCTTTGGCAAGCCGATCCACAGTGTCACAGGCAGTTATTCCTATATGTGACGGGATCCAAAGAAACTTGACACGGATGTCATCAGTTTGTTCTAGCCCGGCAACGGCGGCTAGGGTGTGTTGGGCGGCAGGGGAGGAGGGGGAGGGTAATTTGAGCCTCGCTAGCGCAGAAGTGCTGTCACTGATTATAAGGAGGTTCCGGCGTTCAGTGCGAGCATAGGTCGCCCCCTCATGAATGCCCGCGAGGATGGCTATGCTTTCAGCATCAGTGGAGGAGGCCCAGTCGTGGACCCTGATTTTCCTGCAGGCCTGGCGCTCAGGAATCCACACAGCTGCCCCAGCGCTGCCCAGCGTGGTAACAGACCCATCACAGTAGACGAGGATAGGAGGGTGGGAGGTCTTTAGAGAGGAAGCGACATCATTAATCTGCTCAAGGCAGTTAAGTTTGAGCATATACCTCAGTTGGGTGGATTTACGACCAGGGAAGGTGTGGACGACAACATCAACACACGGGGAGGTCCACGGCGGTAGAGGCGGATGAGTGTACTCGGGAGGGAGAGAGGTCGAGGGGGTGTAGAGGTGATAACGCAGGATGTCAGCAGCAGTGTGGACGGGCCAGAGTTGAGAGGGAGGGGGGAAAGTAATGGGGACAGGCCAGCGCAGGAGGGTGTTAAGATGTGAGTTCAGTGAGCGCGACAGGGGAGTCGGTTGCTCACTGCGAAGAAGTTTAACACCAAGGATGGCATTGAGAGCAGTAATTCGATCGCAGACGGGAAGCAGGATTAGTTCGCGCTGCATGACTTCTATTCTGGTGGTCATAGGGCAGCCGAGGATGAGTCTCATCGCTCTGTTTTGGATTTTCTCTATGCTTTGTTTCTCGCGCTGGGAGGCAACTACAAGGACAGGAGAGGCATAATCTATGACATGAGACGTAGGACCCTGACAGAGGCTCCTTTGAGGCCGTGAGTGAGGGACTGGAGGGGCCTCGTTCGTTGGCGGCACTGGGAGATGACGTGGGCGGCGACAGCGGAGGTCGTGGCTCTGGTAGTGACTCGCACAGGTAGACCAAGGTACCTGTAGGTGCGTACTTGATCGATGTCTTGTCCTTGCAGAATCAGTGGTGTCTGACGCCGGAAGCGTGAGATGAACTTGGTTTTAGTGTGTGAGATGACTAGCCCGAGTGTTTGACAGGTCCGGGCGAACGTGGAGAGTATAGGTTGTTCATGTTGCACTGTAGTAATTTGGAGGAGGATATCATCAGCGTAGCTTATGATGTGACCGTCTAGGGCTCGCTCAGCAAAGATGACGTTGAGACGGCAGATGGAGTTCCTGAGAACATTGAAGAGTGTAGGGCTGAGTACACCTCCCTGAGGCGTGCCAAGATCAAGGTCCCTGATCTTAGAGTAGTGGCCCTGAAAACGGACACGGGCCTGTCGACGGGAGAGGTAGTCAGCAATCCACGTGAGGAGTTTGCCCTTCACATCCATGTGAGTGAGGCCCTCAAGGATCACTTCACTGTTGGTTTTATCAAAAGCACCCTTGAAGTCGACGAAGAGGGAGGTTTTGGCGGAGGTGTTTGCCATGTAGTGAGCGATGCAGTGAGCAGTACTCTTTCCGGGGCGAAAACCATAGAGGTCAGGGTGCAGGTGGGCTTCAATTTTCCAGTGGAGGCGGTGGAGTATCATGCGCTCCATCATCTTTGAGAAGCAGGAGATGAGGGATATTGGACGATATTCATCTTGTCTGCCTGGTTTAGGGACTGGGATGGTGGTGGCAGTCTTCCATGAATGAGGCAGCTGACCAGTATCAAAAGAGAGGTTAAATAGACAGAGGAGGGGGTTACCAGGGGTGGCAATAAGGGCATTTAACACATCATATGTGACGCCGTCATCGCCTGGGGCGGTGGACCGACCACGCTTAACAGCATTTAGTAGTTCACACTGTGTGAAAGGCACGTCAGTGTCTGCAAATAGGTCTTGGTACTCGAAGATGCGCTGTCGGCGTTGTGGTTGCAGTGCGAGGGTGAGGTCTCGTACAGCGGGTGGTAGCGCATCAATGGAGGCGGCCTCCTGCCACATCTGGGAGAGCGCCTCAGCTCGGGCAGCTGGTCTGGGGTGGAGCGCGGGTCTGGCGTTGGTGCCCCGGGCACGGTTAATGGTGCGCCATATATCACCTATAGATGTAGACTGGTCAATAGAAGAAGCAAAATCAAACCACTGCTTCTCTCGTGCGAGAGTGATGGCAGATTGGAGCTCTTTATTTGTGCGCATCAGGAAGCGTAGAGAGTCAGGGGAGCTGGGAGATTTCTTCCACTGGTCGACTGCTATTCGGTGCCATACTCGGATAGACTTAACATTAGGGTCACGGTTAACGTTCCACTGACTCCTGGGCTGGCGGTTAGGGCGGCGGTGTTTTGGGACAGGGCGGAGGAGGTCAGTGCATTGTTTGGACAAATCAAGGTAGAGTTGGTCTGCGGTGGTGACAGTGTAACCCTGAAACCATTCAGCAATGGAAGTGATGAAGGCAGGTATGTTGGCAGGGGGTAGCCTGAGCCTAGGGCCTTTGGGTGGAGCGGGTATTCTCACATACTGGAGGGTAGTGTGGATAGGGAAATGGTCACTGTGGGGGGAGTGGAGGATGCGGGTGGAGTGTGGGCGGTGAGGGTCAGAGTAGAGAGCTATGTAGTCAAGTTTCCCTCCCCCGATGTGGGTGGGTGATGGAGGGCAGAGAAGACGTACAGGGTCATCGGTGGTTTGTGGGTAGGAGAGCCAGGAGTTACCCCGGGAGTTTGAGTGGGGCCCCTGGGAGCCGAGACTAGGGTGACGGGCATTGAGGTCCCCCACAAGGAGGGTGGGGGTGGAGGTGATATGGTGTGGTAGGACAGGTACAGTAGGGGTGGAGGGAGACACATAGACATTGACAATATTGAGGGACATACCTTTTAGTGTGATTGTGATGGCATGTGCGTCGGTGGTGTCGTCATCAAGGGGGACGTCGAGAGGTTGGTAGGGGACATCCTTCTTGACGTAGATCCGTAGTCCACGTGCATGGCTTCGTGGTAGTCCGTCGATGCGGAGAACAGGAGTGGATGGGCTCTCAACACATGTGTAGCCACTGAGCACATAGGTACCAGCAGCACACCGCGTTTCTTGGAGGCACAGCACGTCGACGTCTTCAGTGTAGACGTAGGTTTTGAGGGCACCAAACTTGCTTTGCAAGCCGTTTATGTTCCAGGTGAGTACCTGCAGTCCTGTAGCGTTGCTATCCATTGTGGTGTATTAGACTGATTACCCCTGACGTGGACGGATGGGCCTTAGGTGCCGGCATGTCGGTGGAGTATGGGTAGCCGGGGGTGGAGTCCTCAGGTCCAACAGGTAGCCCTGGTGGAGACAGCACAGACACAGGAGCAGGCGAGGCTTGAGGTGGGTAGACAGGTTGAGGCGCCACGTGACGTAAAGATGAGGCAGGGCTTGGCTCGGGGGCCCCAGTACACACAACCTGTGAGCAGGGGGGTTCACAGGGGGACTACCAGCTTGTGTCAAACCAAAAGAGGGGAGTGACTGGGTGGCAGCAAAGGGCAGGAGTTGGCGGTGTAGGTCGGAGATGACGGTACAGAGTGTAACCAAGAGTTTCTCAACATGACTGGTAAATTCTTGGAAGAGGACATGATCTGTGTCATGTCACTGGAGACGGGTTGTGGGGGGGCACTGGTGGCGGCACAAGGCTTGACAGCGTCAGGGTAGAGACGGGGTTGTGGGGGTGCACTGGTGGCGGCACAAGGCTTGACAGCGTCAGGGTAGAGACGGGGTTGTGGGGGGGCACTGGTGGCGGCACAAGGCTTGACAGCGTCAGGGTAGAGACGGGGTTGTGGGGGGTCACTGGTGGCGGCACAAGGCTTTACTGCGTCAGAGTAGCGACGGGGTTATGGGGGGGAACTGGTGGGAACACGAGGCTTGATAGCGTCAGAGTAGAGACGGGGAGGAGGCTCAGTAGTGGTTGAGTTAGGGAATGGTAGGTGCTGTTGTGGTGCAGCCTGGTGAAGCCAGGCAGGGGCAGGTGACCCAGTAGACTGAGGGGGGCGTTGTGGTAGACGCAGCCCTTGGGGAGGCCTCTCCCCTGGGACAGAAGGGCGACTGGGGCACTGCCGTGAGTCAGCATTGTGCCGGCCGCCACAGTTACAGCACCTGGGCTCAACTACATAGCCCACACCACCCCTATTAAGGTGGTCTTTGATTTTCTGGGCACAGGAGGCGGAGTTGTGGTTACGTGAGCAGAAGCGACATCTAGGACGATCATGTCGGCAGCAGGCAGTGAAGGTGTGACCCCAATGAGAGCAGATAACACAAAATGCAGGCCCAGGATGATAGGGCTCTGCTTAAAGTGGTGGAAGGATTGGATGGGCTTCCACAGTGGTTGGACATACCCTTCCCTTCCACTTGACAATAACAGCAGCTTGTGGAGTGTGTCCCCGGTAATGTCGACGTATACTGAGTAGATTAGAATTAAAGTCATGTGCATCTTCGATGTCAGCGTATAGGGGGAATCGTTTCACTAGGATGTGGCAACATTCATCAGCGTCTGCTGGGGGGGCCACTAGGACAACCCCGTCAAAGCCAACAGTACTAAGGGTTTTATAGATTTCAGGAGTCTGACACTTGATAAAGTTCCGGTTCTTACCCTGTCGGAATTGAATGTTGGGACCATGCTGTCTGCAGTACTTCATCATCCAATTAAACCGATCCTCGACAGATTTTAATGAGTCCTTGGGAAAGTGGAGATTCAGCTTACTTGTTTGTTTGGCAGAGGGCAGGGTGATAGGGTCCATGGCATTGCTGTTTCCACTGTGGCTAGTGTTTCCCATAGAAACATTACCGTCACTGTCATAATCACTGGGGTCTGACTCTTGAAGGGTGTTGGATTCAGTCAAGACCTGCTGTGTTTTATTCCCAGTTGAATTCTTTCTGCTTCCTTCTGTGTGTGTCGTCCTTTTCTTCCTATCATTCATGATCTCATCACTGTCGCTTCCTTCACTTTTCTTCGCCTCCTCTCGCCTCCTCTTCTTTTCATTCTTACTAATCACTTCTTGAAAATTGTCTATCACTTCTATTGTTGTTGGCCGCGGATTGTCTGCTTCTGATTCACTACTTGAAAGCCTCAGGTCGTCTTCTAAGTTGTTCAGTAGGGCAATCTTTTCTACTTTAGCCAAAGCCTTCATAGGTTTCTGCCCACCACTCTCCCCAGGCATTGTGCAATGCTTGTGTTCGGTCACAGGCGAGATGGAGAGGCAACGACGTCACTACCACGTCATTCAACGTCACGCTCTTCGCACTGCGCATGCGCAGATACGAAAATAACCGACCAGATGGACCAGGCAGGAAGTCCATATATTTTATCTAAAATATTGTCTAAGTCCAACAACTATAAATTTCACAAGCGACACTGTGCTTACAACTGGGCTCCACTTTAGTTCTCTAAACAGACTGAAGGTAGTCGTCTCACTAAATTCATCAGAATTGGGAATTGTAGGGAGAGCTCACCCACAGCCTTTGTTGACGTTTTACGGTGCGCATGTCGAATGAAAGTGTAGGAGGTAACGGCATAGGAAAGGTTAGGAGTGAGGAACTTTTCAAGAGGTATAGGGAGGCGCTGGGGAAGGTTAGAGATAGGGGAGGGATCCACATAGTATGTGGTGCCTATAGGAGAGGAGTTGGCGGTGAATGGCTGTCCAGGGCAATTGCCATAAATTGCTGACTAGGAAAACATTGTGCAAGCAATGATTGGGCGTTCATCGATAACTGGCGACCATTCTATGGCAACGACTACCTGTACATTCGTGATGATCAGGGTGTGTTTTTTTAAAGAGCCAGAGGCCGCCCATAGCGTGTGACAGTGTATCAAGTGTTGGTAAACAAGATCATAATAAAGAAATAATAATTGCTGCAAGAGTTTTTTTTTTTTTTTTCGGGGATTAGCCCACCCGGGCACAGGTCACTGACCCACATCGGGGCCTGGGGGGCAAAAATGTAATACTGTACTAATAATAATAATAATAATAATAATAATAATAATAATAATAATAATAATAATAATAATAATAATAATAATAATAATAATAATAATAATAATAATAATAATAATAATTAGTTCATAGTAAATAAAATTTTTAATAATAAATAAAAATAAAATAATAATAACAATAACAACACTAATAATAATAATAATAATAATAATAATAATAATAATAATAATAATAAAGAACCGTAAAGAAATACAGAAATTAAAAAAAAGATCAATCGTGAGAAACGATATATGAATGTTGTGTTGTCAATAATACGAGAAACAATTGAGACCCTGCAAATGTGTGTAAATGAGGCAGGAAGTCAGATCAGCAGGCTCTACCATTAGACAACACCTTCCTGAATTACCATATAAAACAAGAACCACTAACTACCAGTGACCACATTCCAATGATAATAAAACTATCTACAAGCCCAATCCAAGTACCAACAACCCCACATTTCCTAATGCAAAAAGCAGACTGGGAAGGCTACAGGAGGCAACTAGAACAAGTTAAGATCCCAGATCTCCAAGGCAAAATACTAGAAGATATAGACAACGAAACAGATACCCTTATACTTAACATCAAAAAGGCAATAGAGAACAACATACCAATCACAACATATCTAACGCTACCACACATCAGGACATCTCATGAATTGCCAATGCTCCAAGTACAATACAATAACATAATGATGTACATACAAAACTATCCACCAACAACAGAGCTTATTAGAAACTTAAGGCAAATACAACAAAAGTTAAGAGATGAAAGTCTGATAGCACACCAACAGATATGGAACGAACTAATAAACAACCTGGATACCACAAGAAATGACAAGAACTTCTGGCAGAACGTAAACAAAATTCTAGGAAACGACAAACCCCAACAAAAGTACATAAAAGACCAAAACGGGAAAAAACTCTTTGAAGAAAGAGATAGAATCCGCATACAGGAGAGAATGGAAAACAGTATTTCAAATATCAGAAGAAGAAAATGAGCAATTTGATGAGGAACACGAAAATCATATCTGCAGAGAAATGGCTGAAATGATATATAGGATAACCCTGTGGGGTTTTGTGGATATAATGTTGTTTAGCACTCAGGATGGATGGAAACTCTAAGGTGGTTTTCTTGTATAATATAAGTTATATGATAGACAGTCTGGTGCTGGAGGTGCCGTGTGGTGAGGAGCTGCTCAGTAGCGACGTTCGGTGAGTAGCTTGTTGAAGGAGGTAGATGTGCAGGAGCTTCGTTAGAGAAGATGTTGCCTGTTGCTGGCCTCCTGGTTGAATGAATGCTGGACAGCGAGGAGCTTGCTGGAGTAGGTGTTGCGTGTTCAGGAAGATGGGCCAGAATGAGAGCTGGTTGGTGAGGAAGCTCAGAGAAGGACAGCTGGTGGGTAGCCATGCTCGCTGGCGGGAGCGAGGACCGCCAGGCAGCGGCGGAGGAGGAGGTGTTGCTTGTTTAGGAAGAATGGCCAGAATGAATCTCAATGGAGAGACAGAGCTTATATACCCAGCAGCCGTGAGTCATCTATGAGTCATGTTGGGAAAACCCGAGAAAGTCGCCGGTCTTTGGCTCCGTTGCTAAGATACTGCGGCATCTGGTGATGCCCCCCCCGCTTGGGCCGCTAGTTTGGTTGCTAGGGAAGATGGTAGCAGTTGGTGGCTGCGGCTATGCAGTTGTAGGGGAGAAGCCCACTACAACCCCATACCATGTGGTGGACAAAACCAGGCTCAACTCGATAGAACCAATTACAGAAGGAGAACTGCTACACTACATCAGACACACTAAAGAAAAAGCACCAGGATTCACAAAAATCACAAGAAATATGATCCTATACCTACCCAACAACTGCACACAAGGCATCCTTGAAATATTAAACTTAGCTTTGGCAAGTGGATACTTAATT